GCCGCAGCACCCGCCAGCGCCGCAGCACCCGCCAGCGCCGCTCTCGCAGTGACCCCCGCTGCGTCCATGCCCGAAGCTCCAGCAACACCCGGGAGCTCCGAGCTGCTGCTCCGCGCTCACGTCCTCCAACACTTGCAGCTCTTCCCGAACCGTTAACTCACCTATGTATACGTTTTCCATCTGGCTCCCTTTCTTAACGACCAGCTTCAGCTTGGGGGAAGAAAAAGCAGAGGCACGTCAGTTCAGACACCTGTATTCTGGGCACCACGGAAGGAGGAGCGCACGAGCCTGCTGTGCATTCAGACGGGCAGCCTGCTGCCAGGCACACACACCTCTGACAGGCTTTTTGGGAAGCGACACCGTAGGAACAGATTCCTTAGGCATTGGGAGGATCTCTGGAAGTCCTTATAAAGGATCACATTCCCCCTCCCTCCCCACGATAGCGTGACCTTTGCTAGATGGAGCTTTTTGAAGAGCTTTTCAGAGCGGGCTACGCTCCTGTGACACACGGTGTCTCCAGAAGAGAAACAAACAGCCGCGCGCCTGCTGCCTGCTGGCAGTTGCGCTCAGAAGACCGAAGCAGATGCACTGTGGCAGAGCTCGTTCCTACAAGACCCGGCTTTCCTCTCGTTCCTCTCACAGCCAGTACTTCCCCCACGCCTGGTCGCAGCTCGTTCCTTAACTGCGCTACAACCTGCACGCTCTCATGTCGGGATTTACCTGTAAGAAGATACTTCCCACTTTTTCCAGTTCACTGCTCCCAGCAGTCACTGTGAGTCAGAAAGAAGAGAAGGGAGAGAACCTGTTAGCTACACTGTGAAATTAAAAGATCTTGAGCTGAGAGCTGCTGTGGGGTTTCCCAACCCAGTTCGGTTTAGCTCTCTTACCTCCGAACTTCCACTCCATGTCTATCAGCTGGTTAATCATCAGCGTCTGACCAACAGCCAGGCGTGTCAGGGTGGGGGAGTTCACCTTCCACTGCCAGAACAAGAGACACACGAGCAATCAGTTCCGAGAGGCCTCTATTGATGTTACCTGCAATTCCAACACGAGCCAGACACCAGGCAGGCTGATGGCAGGAGCCCAAGGCGGAGGTGTGCGAGGGGGCAAGCTAACGCGGCCGGGAGGGCTTTCAAAGGCGCCCGAGTCCTGCTAGGATTTCCATCTGCCTTGTCGCTTCTGTAAGTGGAACTCACTGTTTTGGTTTTGACACTGGTTCAGTGTAACAATATCTGCCCAAAAAGTCATGTGTTCGTGTAACCGCCTGACCCTGGGGCTCAGAGCCTGCAAAGCAGGAAAACGATCCAATGAAACCACCCAGAAGCGCAGGAATCACGGAACCGGTGAGGCAGAGGCCGCGGCAAACCAGAAGTGGGGTTAGACAAAGTGCTGCTCATCAGCCGCCCGCGGATCTTCAGTTCAAAATCCTGAGCTGGGTTTGAAGGAAATACCCAAAGCGCTGACAGGCCTCGGAGGCACAGCGGGGCTCCGCAAGCTCCCCCGCAAAGACCCTCATTTTGTTGGCTTAGAAACGAGCGAAAATGGATCAGTACCTGCTCTGCAAAATAACTGGCTTTCTCCTCACTGAGGCCTGTGGGAGAAACCACACGAGATTACTACATGTGATAAATATTAATTATCTTTTATTTGGTGAAAGTCAGGTGACCTACCTAGAGCAATAAAATCTGCTCTGACTTGTTCGGGAGACAAATTCCTCTTCAGGGCACCTGAACAAACAACGCAAAGGAGAAAAATCACTTTTTCCCAAGTCGAACCGATCTTCACCGAGTTAAGCACAGGCAGGGACGGAGACCCGGCGGCGGGAAGCCTCTGCTCTTGGGCTGTGTTTTGAAACAACCCCCAGCTCCTCAAGACAGGGCGCACAGCCCTGCCTGCCGGGGTCTCTGCCGGTGCCCGGCGCTTTAAAAGTCGGAGCTGCGGGAGCGCCCGAGAGAGGGAGAGATTTCCTTGCAGGTTTCCATGGAAACCGCGGCAGCAGTTGTGTTTTGAAGTCGCTGCGTTCGCTCCTATAGAAGCTTCGCTTGTTAAAGGGGAACTGTTAAGGCTGGCAGGCTACTAACTTGCCCTGCCCGCTGTGGTGTGGATCACGGGCGTGAGCCTGTGCGTGGAACACCTTCCCCCGCTGCGCTGCCGCCCGGCGCTGGGGCACCGGGAAGTTCACAAGGATCCTGCTCGCTGCAGCCCAGAGCAGGAATCCCACCAGCTCCGAGCCTGCCAGTCCCGCGGGCATCCCGGAGCTGAGGGAAAGCTCCAGTGGGAACGGGAACGGCAAGGCTGAGCGCACCGAGGCCACGACCAGGGAGGGGCAAAATCCCGATTCCACATTAAACACCCCCAAGACAGTTGTAGGAAAGAAAATTATTCAGTGCTAGTGGGTGGAAGAAATGGCTTGGAGGAGTAGAGTGAAAGTTCAGGCCAAATGCGGGAAACGGTTGTGTACGACTGCTGCCAGGAAGAGAGGTACGGGGAGCCCAGGCCTGCAGGATCCCGGCAAAGGGCCCTTCCAAACCAGAGGGATCCATGGGATGGACGTGTCGGGGGGCGTTCGATGCGTTATCATGTCGAACGGCAGCCGCAACGTCGCAGCAATCTCATAAAGTGCTGGAGTCCGGGGTATGCAAGGGGAACCCCCTGCCCCTCTGCCCCCCTCCTTACGGATGAGAAACCGCTGGACACGAAGTGTGGCTGAAAGGAGGCTGCAGGGGCAGACGGCTCCTTCACAGGGCCTGGGGCTGCACCGGCCTCCAGCCCGCTCTCGAGGGGAGCCTACGCTGCTCTGCCTCAAACAGCGCTCGTCCCTGGAGGGACTGCGGTACTGGGTCACCCGGATGGCAGTTCCTACAAGGACTCGGTGCCAAGACAAGGCTGCGCTGGTCCGGCAAAAGGGATTTCCAGGTGCAAGCTAAACCACACCCTGTCACCGTGTTGCGCTTGCACTGAAGCCACGGATCCTGAAGTGAGTTTAGTGAAGCCTGTGAAATGCGCGTGCAGGCAGGGTGCACAAGGCCTGAGTCACCAAACAGGGACACTTCAACGGGAGAATTAAACACAAAGCCACGTGTCAGCTACCGCTGGCGCTCACGGTGCAAACCAAGTGCACCGCAGTCCTGCAGGCGCTCAGCAGCGCAGGAAGGGGCAGCAGTTCGGCCTCAGGGCAGCATATGCAAATGCATCACTTACCGTTAGGTACCAGCAGAATACTTTTGACAATGTTCTTCAGGGGGCCCAAGCTGATTTTATTCATGGTGGCAAAGTCTGACAGCTGAGTCAGAAACCTTTCTACCTGCTCAAGAGAAAGAGCAGCGACACAGTCTTATCTCTGCATGTTTCCCCCCCCCAGAGAGCTGCGCTCACACGCTTCTCCCGGCGCACTCAGCACATGCCTCACCTCCTTGGGCTCCGTCAGAAAGCGGAACAGCACTTCAGTCAGCGCCGAGAATTGCTGTGAAGAAACAGGACAGCGTTACGGAGTCGCTCACGAACACCCTTCATTTCTCAGCGCCTCGCCACCCCCATCGCCACCCCCATCGCCACCCCGACTAGGTGGTGATATCCCACCTGGACGCAGCACCACCTGCCTCCAGTACATTGGTCCCAGCGTTTGACCTCCCGTGCTGGCAAGGCACCCCCATCCTCTGCATTACAAGATGCCCGCGGATGGGATTTGCTCACGGATGCTTTTTGGAGGCTCTCAAAGGGTTTGTGCAGCCGGTAGCTGGTACTGCACAGGGCTTTTGTGACTCGTGGTAATCAGAAGCTGCTGCTCTACCCTGTGTAATCCAAAAACTGTGAGTGGGAAAAGATGTGACCATCTCCTGTCACGTTTCACAGACCCCATGGGGTAACCAGGCTAATTCAGGAAAGTAAAAGAACTGGTTAAAGGTCTAGTTGCCGCCTTCAGTTTTCTGAGCCTGCGGCTGGCAGGGCTGGAGAGCCCCCCTGCAGGGCAGAGCACCACCACCCTCCCTCCTCTGCTGGCACCAGCGCTGGCTGTGACCTCCTTTGGCTGGTCTGCTGCTGCAGTGGCGCATTCCGTCGTACCCTCGTCGTCAGCCATGTACCAGAGACGGCACCGGGCTGTTACCCACGGCTCTGGAAAGATGAGCTAAAAGAGCCTCAGTTCTTCCACCCACTTCAGCGCGAGCTGAACCAGCTTCTGAGATGCGGCTGCACACCCGGTGTGTCGGCAGCCCGGAGGCAGATGTGTACCGCCAACCGGGAGAGCGGACTCGGAACAAGAGGGTGGCGGGGTGGCAATCACAACCCGAGCACTGCGCAGTCCCACCGAGAAAACACAGTGCTTGGCAGGACGCTACAGACCACACAGGGCACAACGTGAGCCCCTCCATCACCCCGACTGCCTGGCAGCCTGAAAAACAGGCTCCTGCATTGCGCAGGGCTCACCCGGCCCGGTGCACGGCTGTGCCGCTGAGCGTGGGGCCGTGCTCTGCAACCCAGCCCCAGACACCAGGAAACGTGGTGCTGGAGCGGGCTGAGACCCAGCAGTGACTCTGGCACCGGGGCCCCCAGGCCTGGCTGGGGCTGGGACCGGGGGCTGTTGCCTGGAGGCCTGATAGGGCCCAGCACCAGGGCTGCTCCGGGGATGTGGGGCCTGAAGGCCCGATGGGGTCCAGTACCGGGGCTGCTCGGGGGGTGTGGGGCCCGCTGGGACCCACCGGGTCCAGTACCGGGACCGCTCCGG